CATCTGAGTGTGTGTATATGTGACCTCCCCCCATCTGAGTGTGCAGGCAGTGCCAAAGCTCCTGCAGGGTAGGGTCCACTGCCTCCAGGGTTACCACAGAACCACACAGATACACTGCTACTATTGAGTTGTGAGAGATCAGCAGCTGCCAGGCCACCTTTGCTGTAGCATATCCAGCCTGTCTCTATCAACTATTCCTGTCAAGATGGAAAGCTGGGTAGTTTCTGGTTTGTCCTATAGAAATTCCCATTTCTCTCAGGAACCCAGAATCCTTCATAGCTCCCTCTGGTGCCTGTGGGAAGCACCAGATTTTCAGCCGTGTTGGGGGATGTGTGGGGGTGTGGGGTACCTGTGTCAGGACTCAGGGAAACCATGGAAAAACACCCTTCTGCACCCAGGGGCACTCTAGATTTAGCCAACTGGAGATGGAAAATTGCAACTGAGCATACATACTTTTCTTCTTGTCATTAGTTTCTAATAATATAGTTTAATATCTATTTACAAAGTGCTTTCATTGTTTTAGGTATTATGAGTAGCTCAGGGGTGACAATAGAGAGAGGCTGGGGATGTAGCTCAGTGGTAGCACACCTGCCTAGTAAGTGTATGACCCCTGGGGTCAATCCCTAACCCACCCCCCATTGGCATACTGGAGGATGTGTGTATGGTTCTTGCAAATACTATATCATTTTATATGACACTTTAGCATTCAAGGATTTGGGGAACCTTGGGAAATTCTAGAACCAGGCTCCTTGTTACTAAGGGACAAAATACTCTGTACAAAACTGATTCTACAAGAAGTTGTTGGCTAGGATAGATAAAGGCTCTTCCAGACAGTAACCCAACATACTATAGGAAAAATGAACAGCAGACCCCAATTCTATCCAAAGGAATACTGACAATGGATTGCAGTAGATGAGGAACAGCTGACCCTCCTGGAACAGGGACCTCTGGCTGACTAGATTTACCAGAAGGGCAGACAGGGGGGAATGGATGAGGGTGCTGACAACACAGTGGACAGTGACAGGGATGGCAGAGTATGGAGCCTCTAGTGGGAGAGGAAGGCTGTCTATCTGACGAGTTTGTATTCATGCTCAGATGCCGAGGAGCTCAGAAGGTGGGCGACTGTGACCAGTGATAGTCATGTATATAGAGATTAGAAATGCATGTAAAAACGTCTCAATGTCAATTGCTTTGAAATGAATTCTGTATGAAAAAAAAAAGTTGTGCTGTAAAGTATTCCTTGAGAAATGTTTATAATTCTATGAGAATGTAAATAGTTTCACAGTAATTGTTTTCCAGTTAGAATATTCTAACTTAATTGCAGCGCAGTCTCTTTAATTTCTTGTTCATTAATTTTTAACTAACTTCATAAAAGAATAAGAATAAAAAATGTGATTTATTTTAGAAAAAGTTACCTGGACTGCTGAAAAGAATGTATATTCCACAGCTGTTGGATGAAATATGCTATAAACATTTATTAAATCTA